AGATGCAAAAGGGTGTGGCGTGGCAGAATGGGAGGGTTGGGGCTGTTGTGGTGGTTTGGAATGGTACACAGGAGCCGCGCGTAACGAGGCGACGCGTGAGAGGTGGGTGGGGGGTGACGTGGCATGGGGTGGGAGGGTGTGACGTGGCACGTGGGGCTGGTTGTTGGTGGACGTGGCGGATGCAGGAGGGTGTGACGTGGCACGTGGGGCTGGTTGTTGGTGGACGTGGCGGATGCAGGAGGGTGTGACGTGGCGGAAGGTGAGGGTTGGGGAAGACGTGGCGGATGCAGGTGGGTGTGACGTGGGGGAAGGTGAGGGTTGGGGATGACGTGGCACCCTACAAGGGTACACGTGAGCGGCGCATGACAAAGCGAGGCGTTTCAGGTGGGTGGGGGGTGACGTCGCTCTTGGTGGGGGTGTGACGTGGCAAGTAGGGCGGGTTGTTGGCGGATGCAAAAGGGTGTGGCGTGGCGGCATGTGAGGGTTGGGCCTGACGTGGCGGTTTGGAATGGTACACAGGAGCGGCCACTGACGAGGCGACGCGTGTCAGGTGGGTGGGGGGGTGACGTGGCATGGGATGGGAGGGTGTGACGTGGCACGTGGGGCTGGTTGTTGGTAGACGTGGCGGATGCAGGAGGGTGTGACGTGGCACGTGGGGCTGGTTGGTGGACGTGGCGGATGCAGGAGGGTGTGACGTGGCGGAAGGTGAGGGTTGGGGATGACGTGGCGGATGCAGGTGGGTGTGACGTGGGGGAAGGTGAGGGTTGGGGATGACGTGGCACCCTACAAGGGTACACGTGAGCGGCGCATGACGAAGCGAGGCGTTTCAGGTGGGTGGGGGGTGACGTCGCTCTTGGTGGGGGTGTGACGTGGCAAGTAGGGCGGGTTGTTGGCGGATGCAAAAGGGTGTGACGTGGCAGCATGTGAGGGTTGGGGCTGACGTGGCGGTTTGGAATGGTACACAGGAGCGGCCACTGACGAGGCGACGCGTGTCAGGTGGGTGGGGGGGTGACGTGGCATGGGATGGGAGGGTGTGACGTGGCACGTGGGGCTGGTTGTTGGTGGACGTGGCGGATGCAGGAGGGTGTGATGTGGCACGTGGGGCTGGTTGGTGGACGTGGCGGATGCAGGAGGGTCTGACGTGGCGGAAGGTGAGGGTTGGGGATGACGTGGCGGATGCAGGTGGGTGTGACGTGGCAGCATGTGAGGGTTGGGGATGACGTGGCGGTTAGAAAAGGTACACGTGACAACTGCGCATGACGAAGCGAGGCGTGTCAGGTGGGTGGGGGGTGACGTGGCTTGTGGTAGGGAGGTGTGACGTGGCAGAATGGGCCGGGTTGTTGGTGGACGTGTCGGATGGCGCAGGGTGTGACGTGGCAAGTTCACACAGTGTTGCTAGTCACAATCCCATGGTCACGCGGCCACCCACATAACTGCTGGTTTCTCTCTCCCATGTCGTGTTGTATACCTTACACCACTGCGCAGAACAAAGCCTACTTAGTGTGCTCTCAGCTCATGTTTCTGAACCCGCCGGAGAAAATACAGTACTACCCTGCACCGGAGGAAGTGTTCGAAGCGTTCTCTGTCCACTTGTCTGCAGAAGGGCTCGAGGCAATGAAGCTGCTGTGGTTGCACAATGACAAGTCAACCATGGGAGTCTTCAACCACCAGCTGTCCTCAACAAGGTCAACTATCAACTCCACCCTCAGGCCAGCAACATACACCGGCATGGGCCTTGCTGATTACAGCCATCTCGTGGATAGCCTGCCCACTGAGCTACACCCAACGACCTGGTTCGATGACGTTCAACTCCTAGCCGAGTACAGAGATGGTATGTGCAACTCGAAAACACAATATGCCCTACCATATGCCAGTTGGCAGCTACATATCACCGTGCGATGTGGCTCACCCTGACACTCATCCCCCCACTTGATTTCTCTACAAAACCCTTTCCAACCCATACCCTCCCTGCCAAAAAACAGAACAGTAGGCCCTCAACTGGCACTTTGACAAGGCCACCGGGACGCCCTTCAGCAACCCCTTGTTCGCTTATGCGTTCAAGATCTCCTTCAAGAGGGGCGGGGCGGTGTTCACCAAGTTCAAGAGCCGCATGGTGGCATGGGGCCTGTTTTCGGTAAGGATGTAGATATGTGTTTGTACCCCCATGCCTCATCCCCTTAACCCCTTGCCTGTACTTCAACCCTAATCCCTGGTCGATTAGGCCTTTGCAGTTACGTAGATAGTGACGACTGCATCACCGCTTTCAGTTGCCTCATTTACCCGTAACCTACCCTCCTCATAAACCACCCACCCAACCCTACTACACCACATTGCAGATCGAATGGCCCCTTCTGCAGGATAAGCGTCGCAAGCGAATCAGTAGCCAGCCAGAGCAGAACAGGCCAGACTACCAGGAGTGGTGCGAAAAGGTCAAACAGATGATCCATTTTGCTGTCGTGGAGCGGAGGATCCCCCACGATCCGGCTATGGGTGCGTTCGTCTTTCCGAACAAGTTCCTCATCGACGACGGCGACCTTGGAGATGTCGTCCTTGCCCACCGGGCGCTTTCAAGGCCCGCCAATGCGTAGGCTATTTGACCTGGTGCTAAGACTGATTGTTGCTAGCATGCTGAATAATGGTTCTTGTAAACCGCAATAATAAATGCAATTTTGAAATCCCCAAAATCCAAAATGAACAAAAACAGAATTTAGTATTGAATAAATTGGTCACGAATTTGCAACAAAACGGATTGCGTCGGAATGTCATCCGGAAAAGCTCGCGTGCCAAATTGGAACTTGAACCGAGCCAAGCCTTGTCGCGAGATGTGTCTCGGAGCTCCTATCAAATGACTCCAACCGTCGGTCCAAATTGGCTACGGATTTTTTTACGCGAAGACAATCGAAATCAAAATTCGACCAAACTTGGCATAGGGTTTTTGTGATGAGAGATACAGGATAATATAAGAGTACAAGGGCTTCCGTATCTTATACGAAGAGATACGGTTATAACTACTTTACTGTTGCTGTTGCAGTTCGATACAGTGACGACTCGGGCAACTGCTCTGTAGCGAGTCAGTTGTGTGTCCTTGCTGTCGTGCTGTACTTGTCAGGTCAAAGGTCGCTGACCTTTGACTTTCGCGTAACCTCTAGCAACCGCTCAACCTCCGAGGGTTGACTCGCCGGTGCTTCAATATACTTCGCTTCGCTTCTAACTTGGTGTTTCGACACGACAGAGGCGCTTAGGACCGATTGTTTCCAACAACTGTCTGGGGTGATACGGTACCATGACGACTAAGACGGCTACCGGCCGAAGGTGACAGTCAGGCCCCTAGATTCGTTTTGAGGTGGTCTGACGCCTCATAGTACACCCCTCTTCCTAGTCTGGCTGTCAGAGTTACCTATTTTTTCTAGTCTGAAAATTCAGACAACACTACGCTTTTTACGCTGAACGTTCAGAGTTAAACACAATTTCTGTTTTGTCTTAAACTGAAGCATAGAATAACGAGATTTACAGCTCTGACAAGGCGAATCTCTACTCTGACAAGGCGAATCTCTACCCTGACAAGGCAAATCTTTGCCTAGGCAGGGCGAATCTTCGCCCTGACAGTTAGAATCTTCACCCTGACAGGGCGAATTTTCGCACTTCGCTCTGTACAGGGCGAATCTCTTCGCTCTGTACAAGGCGAATCTTCGCACTTCACCCTAGGCAGGGCGAATCTCTTCCTTGACAGGGCGGATTTTTGCCCTGACAGGTTGACTCTGCGGTGTGATAGAGGGCAAAAGTGGTGTGACAGGGCAAGCGTGTGCCCGAAGGGCCCATCTGACGCATCAGGGGGGTTCAAAACCTAGCGAGGACCCTGTTCGGAAGTTTGCGGTGCCGCGCTCGGGAAATTTTGGTTTCCCGCCCGTGATTGACGGTGAGTGCTACACGCCACTAGGCTGGCGGAAACCGCTGTATTACGGGTTTCAGGGTGCACCCCCGATACAAGTATGAGGCTCAGCCTACACTAATAAAATTAGGCTGAAATTTCAGACAACTCATAAAGCAAAACTCTGAAAAATCAGACAAGGTACATGAAGATATTCTTAGACTTCAGACTAGGTACAAAAAAAAAAGTCTGAACGGACTCTGAATCAGACTACAAAGTCTGATATCTAGGGCCCTGGTGACAGTTGATGCACTCGTCGATAATCTTTAAGTCTATGACAGAAACGTTTATGCTCTGAGCTCCATTTCTTAGTATGCTATGTGGAAAACTAGTGATTGATGGTTTCGGAAAACTAGTGACTGAAGGTTTCGGAAAACTGGTTGTGAACCCAGAACCAGCTCGAAATTGAAGTTGGCCTGGGGATGGAAAACCATTGGCACTGAACGGTCGTGCGGGTGCAGCACACAAAATGCGACGGCTGAAATGTGCCAGAAAGTTCATTTTGGCAGGAAGCAGAGCATTCTAGTTTGGCGAGGGCCAATCAAATGAGTTCACTCTGCCCATGCGATTTGTTTGAAACTGTGTTTGTCAGACTGGTTTCATTATCACTTCTCAATACCTTTCTCAAGAGGGACGGGGTTCACTATTTTAGCTGCTGGCTTTAACGAATTAGGTATTGCGCACCAAGTTGAATACAATGAAGGTAATTTGCAGGGCCGTACACGCTCACCGCACCATGAAGAGATTCACTCTACAACGGTGGGAGCTAGACTACTGGGGAAGGCACCGTTGTGTGGTAGCTTTGCCTGCATTAGTAGCGCTCTCTAGCACTAGTTCACTAGTGCATTCACGGTGAAAATTAGCAAGTGTTTCACTAGCAAAAGTTGAGAACAACAATGATAGCAGCAACACAACTAGAAGTAACCTAGCAGGTTGCGGGTAACCAACATGCAGGTTACCGCAAACCAGCTACATGAAGGTAATTGGCTGTATCCAACCCTCTTGTGCTACGGTAAAAAGTGTCTGCACTGCTCCCTCCTGCTACGGGAAAAACGGTCAGGACTGCAACCTATTATTCCTTCTTCTCCCTCTCCCTCCCCTCTTGCTGTCCACCCAAGCAGAGAGGGTAAGGCAGCAGCGAGCAGAGGGGGGTGGGGAGGTAACGACAGAAAGGGAGGGAGAGGTAGGGCGGGGAAATGGCAAGAAATGCTGCAAAGAGGGTGACGAAGAGGAGGAGGAGGGAGATGGGTAGGCCAATAAAGGGGTAGAGCGCTGGGGCACGGCGCTGGAGGGGCAGGTGCATTGTGAGCATCCCACTCTCTAGCGCTTCCCTGCGGTGAGTGAGTGGGGCGAACACCAGAACCAAGGGGAATGGGGAATGAAGGGGCAGATGGTTGTATGTGTGCGGAATTGAATGAAATGGTGGATGAAATATTGGGCAAACGGGTAAACAGGTGGAAACACAGCCACCGCAGCAGGAGCACACACCATGCAGCAAGGGTGCGGTAGTGCGGGGAGACAACACCCAACACGCTGAGGAGAAAATTCAAGTACACTGGCACATATGGAGCAGACATGTTGCAACAGCACAGGTCATGATTCAATCATTCATGTCCACAGTAGCAGCAGCACGCACTGTGCAGCAAGGGTGCGGTAGTACGGGGAGACGACACCCGAGACCCCAATGGAGGAGCAGCGCAGCAGTGTGAGCCCGTTCTCTGCTGCCCTCACTGCATCCGTCTCGAATGTCACGTGGCCTATGGCGCCCCGCGTCCAGCTGGGCTGCAGCAAAATGTCCACTCTGAGGATGGCGAGGGTGGAGGGGAAATGGGGGAGACGGATCAGCAAAGGAAGGACTGTTTGCCATGGCTGTGGCACAGCTACGGTGCCCCACGTCCAGCTGGGCTGCAGCAGAATGTTCACTTGGAAGATGGTTATAGAGATAGGAGAAAAGTGAGGATGGGTTAACATAGGAGTGCCTGCATTGGCCGTTGGCTCTTCTTTAAACCTCTTGAGAGTGTCTCCAACATCACGGGGTGGAGGGGGGGAGGGGGGAGTGGGGGACGAGGGGAAGGTCGGGCCCCACTCACCACTCACCACTCACCGATGCACCACCTGCAACAGCAAGAAGGCCAGGCTTTGCAAAAACACACATACAATCACTCACCCTTGTCTTCCCGCCTGGCGGATGAGTGCAGGGAACTGCATGTCAAAGCAGACGGCCACAGACAGCCTCCCCAGAGGCGTGTCCACCACGGGCAGAGACCCGAGTCCGGGTTGCACGTTGGCCTCCACAGAGGGAAAGAGGTGCGACTTGTTGTAGCGCAGGATGGGGGCGCCGCTGGGGCCGATGAGGGCGAACGTGTTGATGACGAAGTTAGGGCCAATGAGCTGACATGGGGCAAGGGATGGGGGCAAGGGATGGGGGTGTGGGGGACACACAGGGGTGGGGAGGGCATGGGAAGAAGGGGCACAGCAGTTGTAGCTAGGGCAGCGCGGTAAGCAAGGAGGTTGGGCTCTTCATGGGCGTGATACGAGCAGCAGCAGAGCCAAGTATGAGACTTTGGGTTTGAGTCTGGTCACATCAGGAGGGCTCCGCCTGCACCAATGACTGTCTCTCAAGCTCTCAACGTATGAATATAAAAATCCAGCACACATACGCCTGTGAATCCGTGTGGTCATGGAAATCGAAACCCGCACCTTTACATATGAAGCGCCCAGGTATGGCCCAAGAGTTGATGGAGTTGCATCGTCCCCAACAGCAGTGGCAGCGGCGGCAGCAGTTGAAGTAGCAGCGGCGGCAGCGCGGCTGGTGCTGGCAGCAGTGGCGATGGCAGCAAGGTCAGCCAGGAGCGTGGCCTCCTCATGGTCGTCCATGAGAATGACAGGTGCCTCTGACCACAGGATCAGAACGTCGCCTGCTCTCGCTCTCTGCTGCGTCTGCTGCACCATCCGTGCTATGCCTGCCACCCGCCATGCCTCCCACTTCTCCCACGCCTCTCGTGCAGCTGCTGCTGCTACTGATGCTGCTGTTGTTGATTCTGCTGCTTCCCCAGCTGCTGCTTTGGCTCTTCCCGTTTCTCCTTTCCCTACGCCCGCTGCAGATGCTTCCCCTTCTGCAACTCCCTGTCGACACTCTCCCTGTCCCCCCCCGTTTTCCCCTTCTCCCCCATCTGCCCCCAGCAGCATTGAGGAAGTGGGTAAATGCGTGGAGGCGTTAGCAGCAGTACGCTGGCAGAGCGAGGGGGGAGGTCGGGGGGAGATGTTGTTGGCGGGGGCTTGCGAGAGGATGCAGGAGACAGGCACCGAGGGAACTATGGTTGCTTCTAGCGGCTTCTGGAAGAATCTGAGAGGGAGAGGGAGAGGGAGAGGGAGAGACAGATGGATCACGACTCTTGAAGATGGATGAATCTGAAGGAAATACGATGGGTGGATGGTTCAACAGAATACAGAAGCGAAGTGAAGGAAAGGGAAAAGGAAGGGGAGAAGGAAGAGGGGGGGGGGATGACGGGAGTTGAGTAAAGGGCAGTAAAGCATGAGCAGTTCGTTGTACAGGCGCAGTGCAGTGCAGCAATAGTACCTGGATGAGAACACAATCTCTCTCGCTGACCCGGCCGCCATCAGCACCACCAGCAGTGCCACACTCATCTGCACATGGCCCCACCCGCTGCTGCCTCCCCCAAGCCTGTTGCTTCTCCCAACTGCACCTTCTCCCCTTTCCCCACCTGCTCCTACTCCTTCTCCTCCTCCTACTCCTCCTACTCCTCCTACTCCTCCTCCTCCTCCTGCTCCATTCCTCATTGCACTAACACTATTACAGCCCTCACCACACACTTGAATGCTACCCCCCTCCCTCACCCCCTCCCCAGGACACCTCACATGCCCTTCCCCTCTCCCGCCCCCCTCCTCCCCAACCACCCTCCCACTCTCACCCCGACTCTCACCCCACTCCCCCCGCCTCCACCCCTCCTCGCCTCTCCCCACCGCATCCCCCTCGCACATCATCTGGTGAATACCCCCCACCAGCCAGGCCACCAGCAGCAAGACACCATCCATGCCCACATATGCCGTGGCTTGCACGAGCGGCAGCAGGGAGCACAGCGAGTAGAACGGGTGGGCTAAGGCGCCAAAGGGGGAGAGCAGCGAGAGGAGGGTCCAGATGGAGGCGGAGACGAGGGGGAAGACGAGCGGATGCAGGTGTGATGAGAGCCTGTGGTGGGGGGAGGGGAGCGGGAGGAAGGGGGGAGGGGGGGTTGGGCACAGGAGGGCGGAAGTGAATTTCGAGTCAGACTCAATATGTGGCGGAGTGAGTAGAAGAGACGGGCGGTGGCAGAGGGTCCAGACGAAGGTGGAGTAAGAGGGAAGACGGGCGCGTGAAGATGCAGCTAGATCCCGTCATGGAAGGTTTGGGGCAGGTGGGAGGAGGGGGAGGGGGAGGGGAGGAGCAGAGGGGGGAAGGGGAGGAGCAGAGGGGGGAAGGGAGGGGGAGAAAAGGAGGAGTCAGCATGGCATGCCACACCACCACACCAGCCGAAACCATCACGCTGCCACAACTAGCGGCACATTAGTGCATGCTAATTCCTCCCCTCACCGCTGAGGAAGATCTTCGGAAGTGAGTTTGGCCCGGCATCGCGAAATAGTGATGATTATTTTTCTTGCGGGAAAGCTTCGAAATACTTTTTTTTGTCGAGGTAGCGAGTCAGCGTGAGATGAGACGAGCTTTGAGGATCCTAAAAACTACCATCACGCTGCCACAACAAGCCAACACGTTTCAAACGCTGCTGCTCATTTCTCTCACTCCATCGCACCTGTAGGTGAAGCGGAAGAGCGAGTCCGCGAGGCATGGCAGCACGTTGGCCACCGCGATCTGGCTGGAGGCGAGGACGTTGGCCGTCGGGTCCATGGCGTACATGCTCGCGTACGCCACTGTCGTGCCGCATGCCTGTGAGGGATGATGATAGTGAGCGAGAGCACAGGGGAGAATCGTGGCTTTGTGAGGCGTCACACGTGAGAGGCGTTGCAGTTTCTAGAAAATGTTGCTTGCCTCCAAACTCACCTCCAACGGAGGTTACCTCGAGGAACCTACAGAAAATTCGCCACCATGTAGCCAAGAACTCACCCCAAAGTTACGACACTCGCCCAAAACTACCCCCAGACTTCCCTCTACATCGTCACACGTGTGATTGGTCAGTTGCGACGTGGTTTTCTGCATGCGACGCGCTGCTGCTCCTACCTGCGTCGCGACTACGAGGACGGTGAGTGTGATGAGGTTACGCCACGGCCGGTCGCCCACGCGCGCTGCGGAGAAGAAGCGGAGCATCAGCAGCTGCAGCCATGCCGCCGGCAACACCTCCTGCAGCTCGGTGAACGCGGCGCATATCGAGGCGCCCACAAGCAGGGCCATAAAGTGGTATGCACCGAGGCGGGGCTCGTCGTTTCTAGTACTTCCGTCGGCGAAAGGGCCGCCCTTCGCCATTGGTGACGAGAGGCAGCAAAACTACGCGATAACTTTTTGCAGACAGAGAAAGGCACCGTGTTGGGTCGTCACTTCGAAACTATATGGGCTTGAAATGTCTCTTCACGTGGGATTTACAATACATTCCTTCGCGACCAGGGGCAGCCGCTTGCCCTGGTGAATCGCCACATCTCTGTTCCACAGGCAGCCTGGCAGCGTGGAAACGGATTTTCTGGGCTGCTCCACAAAAAGTCAACGACTTGCAGCATCGCGGCACATTCCTCGGATGGCATCAAGTGCCTGGAAAACACCGCCTCTCAGGGTCAGCAAGTAGAGCAGGGTCAGAGGGGATGGGTGCACACCAGGACAACTCCAAGGTGGCTAAGGTTTTCCTAAGGGCGTGTTACATTTTCTTCGAGGCCCTTTTGTCTGGACGACGCTCCGTCGATGGTACGGATCATCTCGTACGGGCTGTCCGAGGCTCACGTCCGGAACAAGCCTCGTCCGAACGTCTGGAAGTGGAACAATTTTGAGTTTCGAAATTCAAAATTGTGAACACTCTGTAACACAATACCCGCCTGGTCGCAATTTTCGCCCACCACAAATGTGCGCCTCGACAACTCGAGTGCTTGCCACTCCTGGTTCACGGACAACTCCTCCGAAGCGTGGTTGTCGGGGGAAGGTTGGGAGTTGTCACCAACGCTAGAGAAATCCATCGTTGCCTATGATGTTGTCGTCCGGATTGATGCCTGTTTTGTAATAGATTCACATTGTTTCGTTCGATTGTTGTTGGAAATGCGGCTCGGCTATTTCTCTCTCAACTGATGCTTCGAGAGAATGAGAAGAAGTGAACGAGAGAATGAGTGAACTATCAACGAAGTGAGTACAAATAGTAAACCCTAGTTGGGTTGTACCCCCTATGGGATACCCCACTATAGCCTACACAAATAAGTAAGCTATAATATTCTGACACACCCCCATAGGCAAAGTGGGGGGGAACAAGGGGTCACAAGACCAGTCAAGCAAAGCAAAGCAAAGCTCAGGGTGGATCACAAAGTCACCACACATTCCGAGCACAAGTTCAAAGGCCACAAGGCCAGTTCACATGCAAGATCATATATAGAGATATACAAGAGTCAAGCAAGCAAGAACAAGAGTATATATAGGTCAAGGTACAAGCAAGGTCAAGAAGTGAGCAAGTGAGGCAAGACAGGCACAAGACCCAGCTGCGTGCAGCAACGCTGATGATCACAAGGCGGAAGTGCCTTGGTGAAGACATCAGCAGTGTTGGCCTCAGAGGCCACGTACGCAAGCCGCAACTGTCCACGCTGCTGTAGCTCACGAGCAAGAAAGTAGCGGAGAGCAATGTGCTTTGTCCTGTGCTCCAGTCGCTGCTCTCGACACAAGGCCAGCATGGCCTTGTTGTCTACGTACAGGACTGGGGGAGAACGAGGCGGCTCTCCAAGGTCGGTCAGCAGGTAGGTGAGCCAGCGAAGCTCCTGAGCAGCCATAGCCCCGGCATAGATCTCAGCCTCACAACTGGAGCCGAGAACAGAAGACGAGCGGGTAGCTCGCCACGAAACAGAGCCGGAACCAAGGCTGAAGGTGTAACCCTGTGACGACCGCTGCGTAGCCTGGTCGTCAGCCCAAGAAGCGTCCGTGTGCCCAGTGAGGACCACTGGACTGCACCCTCCAAGCACTAGCCCCATGCCCGATGTACTGCACAAGTAGCGCAACACCCTCTTCGCTGCAGCCATGTGCTCTGGTCGGTGTCTCCCAGGAGCAACATAGCGTGCGAGAATGCTAAGAGGGTATGCAAGGTCAGGTCGTGTGCAGGTCATCAGGTACATGAGGCAGCCAACAAGCTCTGCATACGGACCACTCGACTCTACGGACTCATCCGAAGGCAGAGCTGAGAGCGAGTGGCGAGTAGGCACAGGAGTGGTCTGAGGCGAGGAGTACGTGAAGCCGAAGCGCTGAAGGACCTGCTGCACCATGTGTGACTGAGTCAGGGTAATGGTGCGGCGTGCTCTGTCCCGGGTGATCTGCAAGCCAAGGTAGCTGCGCAGTTCACCCAGGTCAGTGCACGTGTGTCTCTTCTGCAGCTCGGACTTCACGTAGGCGAGTCCAGCAGTGTCAGCTGTGGCAAAGACCAAGTCGTCGACGTACACGAGGATGTAGAACGGCGGCAGAGAGGTGTCGGTGCGCAGAAACAGCGACGGGTCGGTAGTAGAAGGAGCAAACCCAAGTGCCGCCAGCGTAGTCCTCAGTGTGTCGTGCCACTCACGTGGCGCCTGGCGGAGACCGTAGACTGGACGCCGGAGACTCCACTGGGTACCAGGAGGGAAAGACCCAGTGAAGCCAGGTGGGCGACGCAGCCAGATCTCCTCGTGCAGGCTGCCCTGCAAGAAAGCAGTGCTGAAGTCGAGGGAGTGCAGCTCGTAGTCACGGTGAGCAGCAACGTGCAGCAGTACCCGAAGAGTGGTCATCTTCGGGGTGGGGGAGAAGGTATGAAAGTAGTCAACTCCTTGCCGCTGACTGAAGCCACGAGCCACGTAACGCGCCTTGAAGGTAGGCGGAGAACCCGGCGGCCGCTTCACCCTGAAAATCCACATGCCACTGACTATGTTCGCCCCAGGAGGGGGAACAGCGTCAACGTAGGTGCCTGTGGACTTCCAGGAAGCCATCTCTGCATCCATAGCTGCCTGCCACTGAGAGGAGTAGGGACCCTCTATCGCCTCCGCGTAAGAGCGCGGAGTCGGGATGTCTAGTGCATCCGGGTCTCCCTCAGGGGCGAGCAGTACAGACGCGAGATGAGGTGAAGCGGCGGCCAGACACTGGAACTCCTCCTGCCTGTCCTCAAGGACGTCCGTGCCAAGGGCACACTCACCCCCGTCGGACGGAGGACAGGCAGACTCAGACTCAGCGACAAGACTAGCAGCGTAGTCTAGACGACAGCGCGCAGCAAAGTCGACGAGCTCAGTGACAAGGGCAGACGCAGCAGACGACTCGAAAGAAGGGTCAGTGACAGCAGTAGCAAGGAGACGCGTGACAGTGGGACTGGCAGCACGAAGAGAGTCCGACTCCGGGTCGGCAAGAGCAGGAAGAGAGGAAGAAGGAGGAGAAGGCAAAGGGGCACGCAGAGGAGCAGTGGACGGACGCAGAGACATCCGGTGCGTGCCAGGGACAGGAGGAGGACGCTGACGCGAACCGCGACCACTAGTGCGTGCAGGACGGACAGGCGACGCAGGACGAGACGCAGGCTCACGACGCTCAGTAAGACCTCAAGTCGGACCAGCGTAGGGAGAAGGAGCAGGCAAAGGGGAGGCAGGCTGTAGCTGTGACTGTGACTGGACAGGCTGTGGACCCTCTAAGGGAGGAGGAGGAGGACCAGGAGAAGGTGTAAGACCAAGAACCTGCTGCAGGAGCGGAACGAAGTACGGTCGGGGCCGCGTGGCGACGCCAGAAACAGCAGGGACAGCACAAGTACCCCAAGAAGGAGCACCCACTCCAGCAGCACCTCCAGCAGCACCTCCAGTAGCTCCAGAACCCCTAGCAGCACCAGGAGCACTGCCAGTAGGACCGCCAGCAGTAGTCTCAGCGCCAACACCCTCAGCAGCTCTAGCTCCAGGAGAACCCTCAGGCCCAGCAGCTCCAGCACCCACAGCACGAGCACCTCCGGGACGCGTGACAGCAGCACCCTCTGCAGCCGAAGAACCTCCAGCACCAGCAGCACTCCTCATCACTAGCAGACTCAATGCCCGGATCGGGCGGGAAACACCGGTAACAGTCACCCTCATCACTAGCAGACACAGCATACATGGCAGCAAGAATAGCATCAAAGTCAAGATCAAAGATAGCTACACCAGCCCTAGACAGCTCTCCCCAGCGGGGGATCTCAGAGGCCTCCGGAAACTGATGGCGCCAAGCGTCGGTCAAGCGGGCAAAGCAGCGGCGGGCGGTGTGGGTGCCCCCACACTGCTCACCCACGCGGTCGCCGGTGCGAAGGACGTAGGTGCAGGGACCGAACGCCCCACCACGCTGACGCTGCGAGTACCACTCACGGAGCTGCTGAGGGGTGGGGACGTCGCGAGAGCGCTGCTGCTGCTGCTGCTGCTGCTGCTGCTGGCGCTGACCACCCCCAGTGCTGCTCCGCAGGGACAAGCCACTCCGACCACCTCCACCACCGCCACCCCCGCCTCCGCCGCCACCGCCGCCACCGCCACCCTCGCCCCCGCCGCTCCCACCGCCACCTCCGCCACCACCTCCGCCGCCGCCTCCGCCTCCACTGCCGCCACCAGTACCTCCACTCCCGCCACCACCTCCACCGCCACCCCCACTCCCTCCGCCGCCCCCACCTCCTCCGCCACCGCCCCCGCTAGCTCCACCCGCTCCCTTGCCCCCCTTGCCCCTACTAGAGCGGCGCCTACCGCTGGGGGCAGACGCCGCACCGACCGACTCCAAACCAACGAGGTCGGCCGCAACAGCAGAGGCGACAGAGGGTAACAGGGGGGAGGGAGAACACCCCTCAAAGATGGGGGTGCGAGGCTCACCACGAGAGGCCCCTACAGCGACTAAACTCTTCTCAGCCGCTAGCAGGGACTTCTCAAGGAGGTCGACAGTGAGTGTGGTGGGACAGACAGAGAGAAACTGGTCCCTAACGGCACGAAGGGACTCAGGGAGACGGGTGACTAGAAAGTAGAGAGTGATGTACATGGGAGGAGGGTTTGCGGCGCGGAAGTCAGCAGGAAGCGCAGCGCGGTAGCGAGTGTCACTAGCGCGGAGGTGGGTAAAGAGGTCAGCGACTGTGGGAAAGGCAGCGAGGTCAGGGAAGAGGTTCGGTAGCATGAGGCGGCTCAGCGTAGCGGAGGAAGGGGAGGAGTAGCGCGCAACTACAGCGTCGTACAAGGCCTGAGCGGTCTTGCACTGGCTAAAGTGCGCACGCTCGG